CAAGCACAGGCAAAGCTTACAACTCCATGCGGAGGGTTCCTCAGGAACTGAAACCAAGCCCCAGAAATGCGAGGCAGCAATGCTAACCACTGTACCACAATGCTACTCCTAATGGCCATTCAACAGTTCTAATTTTACAACAAGAAATTTCTATATGTAATAATATAGGTGAAAGTATAATAATAATAATAATAATAATAATAATAATAATTGCTTGCACTTATATAGCACTTTTCTGGACACTCCGCTTTACAGGTAATGGGGACTCCCCTCCACCACCACCAATGTGCAGCATCCACCTGGATGATGCGACGGCAGCCATAGTGTGCCAGAATGCTCACCACACATCAGCTATCAGTATAAAAGTAATGAAGCCAATTCATAGTTGGGGATTATTAGGAGGCCATTACTGGTAAGGGCCAATGGGAAATTTGGCCAGGACACTGGGGTTAAACCCCTACTCTTTTCGAGAAACACCCTGGGATTTTTAATGACCACAGAGAGACAGGACCTCAGTTTTACACCTCATCCGAAGGACGGCACCTGTTTACAGTATAGTGTCCCTATCACTATACTGGGGCACTAGGACCCACATGGACCACAGGGTAAGCACCCCCTGCATCCAGAAGCAACATTAGTTTTTCCCCATAGGTCTCTCATCCAGGTACTGACCAGGCTCACACCTGCTTAGCTTCACAGGGTTGCCAGTTGTGAGTTGCAGGGTGATATGGCTGCTGGCTAAAAGTATGTGTGTAATATATGTGTAAGTTTTAGTGTAAATGAAAATGTACTTTCATAAATAATGGAACAAAAGAATAGAAAAGACAACACCCAATGTTAACCTTCAACAAAACATTATGAAACTAACATGTTATTTTCTTCATGCTCACCAAAACGTTAAATCACTTTTATTAATGATTCACTTTGCCACTAAAGCTTGTCTACTGCACAAAATCTCTTCTGTCACCTCTGCATATCATTCACCACTGTGAGGAGGTCCCAGGAGTACAACAAGCTGTGGATAAACTAAGCAACAGACCAAGTCCATCTTACCCTGGTAGTACTTGACCAGGTGCTGTGCCACACTTGGGAATCCCAGGCAAAGATAGCTAATGAGATAGCCTAGGATCAAAGCACTGATGTGTTGATTATTGGTCACTGGTTGAACCACTCAGAAGGATACTCAGTAAAAATGCTTTTGAAGAAAAAGAAAGCATGAGAAAAAAGTTAAAACCAAAGACAAAAAACAATTCCTCAAAGGAAAGCAGTTTCCATTTTGCTTTGCTGAATACAATAATGCCAGATTATGATATGATATACACAGTATATTATGTAATGTACTTTACACACTAATGGCTTCACAGCAGGTGTGGTACATGATGCTCATTAATGTCAAATTAATTGCAGAACCCCTGCCTTTCTTCCTCTGTTAATGAAGTACTGTACACATTAGTGAACTTTTAAAGATGGCACTTTCTTGTTGACATGGACAATTTATAGTCCAATAGATTTTCACAGGCCAATATAAAGTTACAATACTTAAACATATAATTTAACTGTATGTATTGTTCCTTATATTTGTAAACGTAGTATTATATTCCATTGGGAAATTAACAAAAATGGCCAGGCATGGTGCATTTTCTAAGTACATGTAACTTAGGGCTCAGTGGAATGAACAAATTACAGGAATGACATCACCCCTCTCTATAACCTAGAAATTGTAAATCTGTACTGTGGCCAAAGACACTATCTTTAAGCGTGGGAGAGTTAACTACTGTACTGCCTTGATGGTGGCGTTGATGCTTGGAGTTTTGAGGAACTGGGCTAGAATCCTGGCAGGGGGAGGGAGGGCTCCACTTGTCACACATGTACAGTACGGACAGAAAATTAGAAATATCATTCAGTGGAATTATTTGTTCAACCTATCCATATCTATCACCCCTTCTTAAATAGGTGAATAAAATGACAAACAACGAAAAGCCATGCCCTCAAGGGCCTTAATGCTTCATCATAATGTTTTTGTAAACATTTGATTGAAAAGAGAGTTCTGAGTAGTTCCTAAAAATGACTACAAATAACTCTTTTGTATATTAGATTCTTATTCTGTACCTTATGACATCAATGGTGGTTACTGTATTATATGAAATATCCCTTCTACAGTACATCCAGATTATTGATGTCAGTTCCATTCTCCACAGGTATTTTATTTGGGATAGTTTATTAAAGCAGTTTTTTATCAATCGTAAAATAAAACACCACAGTGCATCCAATACAAAATATACAAAAATGGAGGGTAGCTCACACAACAAATGATTACGATTCAACAATAATTAAACTAACTGCAAAAAGGAGAAAAGGCATCTAACCAAGCTAGAATTATGAACTCATAAATTAGTCATACTTCTTTCGGGAAGAACGATTTTTGCAAATACATGTAATGTACACACAACCAAGTGTTGTTTAAGGGTATCTCACCCAGCCTTTTAAAATAGATACCTTGGCAGTAGTTAAACCCACAAACAAAAGACATCATACTTGAAGACTGATACTGTAGTAGCTTGGGAATCATCAGTGAGAAGGAACAGTCAAGGAGTCAGTAACACAGTCATACCACTCACATCAATGTTTATAGATATGTCTTGTGAAAACCAGTTGTTCCTGTGTACCCGAGAGGGTTAGGATCCATTTTTATCTAGAACCACCGGTAAGGTATTGTGTACCTCCTATGCAAACATTTCAAATGGACTAGGTGAAATGTAACATTTTTAAAAGAAGAAAAAGTACTGTTAAAGACACATCCCAGTCCATACTAATATCCCATTTATATAAGTATGTAACACATTCAAAAGTATTTTACACATTTAATTGAGAGCAGATTCATTATACTGTAGACAAAAGAAGTCATGTGGAGATAAGATTACACCCCTTGTGGTGATGTTAAATCAATTAGATCAGCCACTGTGTGGGTGGCTAAAGGAATGTCACATGTCTACCATAGGTGTAAAAGGTTGTGCAGAGTCTGGGGTATATAAAAATAAGAAAACCCAGTGAGAATGATTCACTCCCTCATGAATCTTGCCCAGCCCGTAGACATAAAACATGTCACCAAGTGTACAATCAATTCTTGTAAACCAGGATGGATATGTAAAGTGCTGAGAATCCAATTAATCCAAACCAGTGAAAAAGGAAATGGTGGGGGATTCCTACTGTAAATGAGGGTGATTTTTCTTCAAATTCCCAATGGCTTTGCAATGACTGGAATCAAGAGGGCTACAATCCTGACCTTGGGTGCAGAGGATGAAAGACTCTGGATTCTAAGATTAGCTAGACAAATTTGCTTTAAATGTATTCAGCCTCACATGTGTATTCTCTTAACGATTCTGCTGAAAATTAGAGGAGTTCTTAATACCCAGGTAAATAAAAGCCAAAGATTGACTGTGCGTTTGATATTGCAAAAATAAATTAAAAAAAGAGGCTTATTAGCACAAAGTCGGTGTTTGGGAGCTCTCAAAACCTATTTCTAACACCCACAATATTGAGAGCAGTAAGCAAGTGCTACTCTCCCATTAAGCTAATGTACCCACCTCCGCCATCTCATAGTGTCAGTAGTGTGCAATAGGTCTCCTTCTGGGAATTCGAGAACCTGTAATGAGCTGTACACAGGACTAAACCCAAACCCTTCACCTTAAGGATTCCCAGATACAAATAACCAACTTACATAAAGTACAGTAACAGTTATTGAGTTACTGTTTTTTGACAGATTTGCAGCTATAGTAACTACAATTATTACATGTCTGGGGCATTATAAAAATCTCTAGGCTTACTGATCTTAACTCTTTAGTTCACGGTTTCCATTTTCCTTAGTAGATCATTTTATCTTCCACCATATTTAACAAATACCTTAAAAGAGGGAAAGTGTGACATTTTTACAGTTTGGGTATTGTTCAGAGCTCTTGGTTAACCCTACCTACAGTACCACTAAAAAACCATACCTAGCAAAGTTAAGGAAATAAACTTTAACTAATAGAATCAACAATGTATTTAACTAAATGTATCTGATTCATTTTAGAGTGCATTTCCTGTTTGTTTGGTTTTGAGCTCCATCAATTCTAACAAAAGAGCTGCTGGGCTCTAAAGCACATTTAACAGATATTGTTTGAACAAATGTAGTTAGTACTGTATATGTAGATCACATTGCTTCTGGAATGTTATTCCAAGAAGATGTAACTTAAGACGACTATACCGTACTGTATATGAATATATACGTAGTATTATAAATGTGATTACTTAATTGCCTAGATATGAGCTTTACTAAATTTTAAAAGTGCTGTTTTTTTTTCTTGAGAGATAAATTTGAATCAATACTGCATCTTGCATCAGAAAACGTTTTCACACCCTACATACTGTACATCAAAAATAATATTTTAGAGTATCAACTAACAAAAAAAACATATTTCTTTTCATAATATCAGTTATGAAAAACCTATCAAAGACTTCTTAAATCCGAAGCATTTGACATTTCGGTACTAAACAAATACAAGAACTGAAAGGCAGATTAAAACCAAACTGCTGGATAACATCGATTCATAATTTGATTTTGTGATTGGCTGTCAGCTACGGTAACAATTTTTGAAATTGTGATTTTCAATCGCAAGAAAAAAATACAGAAATGATTATGATACAGCAGTTTTAACTTTATATTTTTTTTCTAGAAGTGAGTTCTCCTTATATTGCTCCTGCTGTGACGCCGTGCAGGTCGTGCGGAACGTGTTCTGTAAAACTAAATTTAAGATTAAACTGATTTTTTTCGACAGACTCTGAAAAGAAATGCGTCAACATCAGGTTTTAGTTCAACGTAAAAATGTAGTTAATTGTTACTGTATATTGAAGAAAAAAAACTGTTAAACAGTGACATTTCATCCATTTACTGTGTATTATCCTGCAACTTTAAGTCTTCTATGAAGCAAAACATTGACTCAAAGAATAAATTAGTCACTTACTTGCTTCCACCAAAAGGATGTTACAGCTAGAAAGCACCAGCGCAATACAGTTCACATAAATAGGGACTTGTGCCATGCCTTCCTTTATTTTATTTTTTCCTCTTGAAAAAAAAGTTCGCTTCCAGACAGAAATCCACTAGTTTTTCCAGTTAACTTATTGCGCTATTAACCATGGTAACCACGGCAGTTATATTAATGCGGTGAACATTGTGTATTTGATATATTTTGCAAATCGTTTCTTTTCCAGATCATCCGTGCATTTAATTTCGACAGAACCTGTTAGCAGGTTTCATAAGATTTGTTTGCAGTTCAGTGTCCCAAAGCTACTCTTCAATCAACTTCAAGTACGTTACAAATGAAATCATATTAACTTTTTCTTTAGGGGTCGTGGCGATAACATGGCTTTGGATCCAAACGTCGTCGTTATGGAAAGCAAGTGGAAATGCACAGAAAGTAATGGATGTCGACGTCACATCTGAAACATCTCGTTGCCTTTTCGAGTCTGAAACAAACGCACGTAGTCCCTTTTCTGCTTTCATGTCTGTGTGCCCTTGCCGATTTTCTTTATCATCCAAGCTGCGCGACTGCGGTACTCTTGTTCTTCACATCAGGTGTTGCACACTATGAGAGAGCACGGAGGCTGCCCCCCTTGCAAGAATACGGTACATACTACTGCTCTGAATCGGATACTTGCACTGTTTGTAGGTCCATTTAAGTGTTACCTGCGAAAAGATGCTATCGTTTGATGACAGCAAAGGACAGCAGACATGCTTCATCACCATGGATAGCTCCTCTTGGTTGAAGCTCTGAAGATTAAGTTCGCCTTCTTCGCTCAATCAAGTCTACCTGCACGAGACTTGCGTGTTAAAAAAAAACCCATTCTGCAGCACCGCTGGCGGCTCTCCAAGATTATACACAGGGCAGGACCTCCATGTTTTCAGTACTTGGCTTTTGGCACTTACAGTAGGTGAGCTATACCCCCTGTTTACTGACGCTTAATTTCAGTACGAAACGACTGCGTGTTCCTCTTACCAGGAAATCAATTATATATAAATATTTGATTCCGATTGGCCTGCGCTGGTTCTTTGTTTGAATTTCCTCTGAAAACGAGATGCATTCTTGCGCATGAAGTGTTTAAAAAAATCCACTCACCATTCAATTTCCCCCGAGTTTTGAAACATGCTTATAAATCCAAAGTTTACAGGGTTACAAAGCGGAGATTTATCGCACAGGTATCCTCTTTTCTGCAACAGATCTCTGTATTTACCCGCTCTCGATGCAGTAGTCTTTTAAAATAATATTTACGACATCTGCTGTTTCAACACATGGGTCCTGTTAGATTCAATGACCGGTAAACTCTTTTTTAATGCGAGGGAATTTGGGTTTAGTGTTTGCTGGTCAGATTTAGCCGTGGTGATACTGTCCTTATGATACAGTATGTGCTCTAGGTACCGAGTTAGAAGATTTTGAAAATAAGATAACTTTCCTCCAGATGGTGCTAAGCGGCTTGTTGATAATTCTGCACAGCTTTGAATGTATTCGCATTTGTTAATAAAGACTCTTTCTTTAGACAAATGGATACCTAGAACAAATAATTCAATTCTCCACATCAAGCCGGTACATGTCTTGTTTAACTGGATGTTCCAATTTCTTCTCTCGGCTATAGAACAATAATTACAGCTGTCCTGTGATCTCACAAACAATTAGCATACGGCCTTCCTTATTTTTAAATTAACTGTGGTGACGCATTAGTTAATGATTGCCCGAGGGTGTACACACTCTGCTGGTGTCACCATACTGTAAGTCTAAACCTTAATAAAAGAAAAGGTTAAGACAGAAGCAAAGGCTGGTATTTTCTGTAAAAACATTTTGATAAACATCCATGATTATTTGTGTACAGAGCATTCAAGTTGACTGCAAGATCGACTGCATGATGCCTCAGTGCTCAAGACCAGCACAAACAGAAGGAAATCAGTTATCAGCTCTATGAAATCTTAAGGAAACAGCTAAAATGTGTTTTCCTGATTACAGTACCACCACTGGAACCCTAAAACTAAATAAAAGCCCATGCACTGTACATACTATTAGTTTTTGCTACCCACAAAGTTCCACACTTAAAGTTTCTGTGACCACAAATAAATCCTGCTGAACAAATACCTAAATAAAAATATAAAGCTCTTTATATTACTCACCTAGGGGTATGGTTTAAGCAAGTGGGATGAATATTTTGAGAAAGTCCATCACGCAGAAGAAGATTGTCATCAGGATGTGTTTGAAAATCTTTGGAAATCTTTACATACCTCTTTATGCAATTTGTGAAAAAGTATAATCAAAAGCATTCACCAAAGCCTTGCTAGATGGTCAGTTTGAAGGAAACAAAGAAAATAAAAAAAATGAAAGGGATATAAAGACAGTGTGTACTGAACTATTTTAAGTCTTGTTCTATGGAGTTATTGACCCTCTGTATTACATGCGATACCATCAGAATCATTTTATTAAATTGTTCTGACTTGGAGGGGCACAGAGCTTCAGCAAGGTTAACAGTGTTTGTACTTTCCATCTCGACTGCCTTACTAAGAAGGTTTGGAACAATGGATTTTGTTTGGTTGTATTTGTGTAGCGGGGTAGGTGTTTAGTTAACTTGTGGGAAGATGTAGAGGATCAAAAGGAGCCCTAATCTAAGTCTAAGTCTTAGGTAAATCTCTAATGAAGTAAACAGCAAAAGATAAGGATCAAAAATCAGATTGCATATGAACTTAAAATGAATCTAACCTGGTTGTATTTCATATATTGGGATAGGGATAATGAAGATGAATGAATGATGAGGTCATGGTAAACGTTTTTATAATATTAATAGATGACTATGATTAGAAATATGGAGTATTGATGATTATAAAGTATGCTGTATTATAATGTTACTGCCACGTCTGAGGAATTTGGAGACATTTCAGATGATGAAAATAATCTGGACTTGCCAGTATCTACAAAATCGGGATAATATAAATAAGATATGAGCAAATCTGCTGACAAAAGCAAAAATCTACAAAGGATGGTTTTTTATCTTTGGCTATAGGGATGGCAGTAGTGTAATGAGCTATGTTATAGATGAGTGTTAGGCAATTTGTTACCATTGAATAACTTGTCCTTTTCAAACATGCTGTACAAAAAAATCAATGCAAAAGAAACAGATGAGTTGGCACTTTTAAAGGCACTGTACTGAGACATACTGTATTAATTATTAAGAGGCCATATACCTTCTTCTTAAACAGACTTTAGCTTAACATGACAGTTAATAGACTTGGCAATATTCAGTCTAAATATAAAATGGATATAAGTATGTCATTTAATGCTTCTCAAACATGAAATAGGTGGTGGGAACTAAAAGACGTATAGGTTAACCCTTTGTTTTCTAAGAGATTGTATTTTTTTTTTCAAAAGAAACACACTTGGTTTACCTGTCTGAGCAGCCTGGCGGATACATTTCTCTTATGGTAGTAACCTACTGATCCTTTACAATTTTCGAGAGTCACTTCCAAACAATGGATGTTATGTGATAGGCCGAACAAGAAATATTTAAATAAAGGTGTAAGTGAAGCCAGAGCCAAAATACCTACAGTAGTCCTCAAAATGAGAATGATGTTCTGTCTGTAAGACAGAGGTGGCTGCAATAGCTCTTGTGAAGTGGACCATGTTCAGTTGCTAGATCCTAGTTGGTAGTGTGGAGTAGCTCATCTGGCTTCAGCACAGGTGTCAGGTTCATGTACCTATTGTCCATGTACAAACTGTGATATACCTGTACGATGTAAGGATGAGAAACACTGATCCAGAAACTCCAATATTTGGCTCGGGGATAATAGCGGCTGTTCAACCAGTATAACATTCAGAATTTCAAACATCTAAATTTTGACATTGCAAATTCAAAGCAAAGCGTTTTATGTCAAAATGATGATGTTTTGAGTACTACAGTATCTGAATGACATTCCAAAACATACAGTAAGTGGCCCATCTATACACAGGTCTCAAGCAGATATTTCCTACAGGTCACTGACAATTTCTCAGATTTTGTTCAGACAGTCACTGGTTTGTGCAGTACTTGAAGTGCCTTCACAAATGGAAAGAAGCAATCAAGTTAATAATTGAAAAGACATGTTATTCCTGAATCAAAACAGTAGACCTGTATTCCTTTAGTTACTTTTTAAAACCCATATGCAGAGCAGTAGCCAGGTAGGTGTACATTTCAGTTATTGTAGCATTTACCCACTTGTAAGACTTTAATTTTGCACTTTGTCTCACATTCCTTCCTAGATCATGAGCAAACTTATAAACCCCCTATTAATCTAAATACACAGGTTTCTAATCATTTTCACATAAATCAATATCATGTTTACACCAACAATATCTGTGTAAAATGTTTTTTTTTTAGGAAATCTCAATATTTTTTTAGAAGTGTAACAAAATATCTATAGTATGTGTGCACTTGTGTGGCGTGAAGGACTGTTTGTATATTGTTGTTTCAAGTTGTTAGATGACATTAGCCTCAGAGGTCACAGCTTCAGGGAGCTGGTGTGTCAATGGGCTGCAGCTGTGAGCCATCTTATTTAAGCTGGCTGTCTAGACTCTCATGAGAAGAAATCCCTCTGTGAAAGAGAAACAGTCTTAGAAGGCTCTCCTGATCCTGCAGTAAGCAGCCTGCTGTATGTATTAGTGTTTTCTGGATTAGCAGCGTGCTACGCAGCCAAGTGTCGCTAGCTGTAGGTGCCACAGAGATGCAAAAAATGGTGTCACTATGAAATATGTACAGTAGGTCCACAGAGCCACACTATAGAGAGGTGCACAAAGGTACTGTATAGAGGGGAAGCAGTTGTGGGCAATGGAGGTGCAGGAGAGAGGTGTGCACAGAAGCACTAGTTACATGGAGATACTAAGATATGTGGAGGTACAGGATGCTGGGGGGTGGGGGGCCCAGTAGAGGCTGCAGTCCATTTCTGGAGTGTTGAGGGGGATGCGAGACCTGAGAGGACAAGTGTGTGGAATTACAGGTCCCACTTGCCAACAAACCCAAAAGCAGGAGAAGAGGACAAGAAGTAAGCAAGTAAACAAGGAGAGAGGCTGTAATGTGAACTACAGTGCAGCCCAAATAATAGATGCTTGCTGCTCCCTGTCTCTTTGTCCTCTTGGATTTCTACTTGACACACGAGGTAGAAAAAATGTTTAAAAATGTTGAAAGGAAGAAAAGGATAGTGGGTGTAACAAAAACAGTGCAAGCAACAGAGAAAAGAGTAAGCTCCTCAGAAGGAGAAAATAAAGAATTTTTTTTTCTTAAATTAAATTAAAAGAAACTTGGCAAAAATACATAGATAATGAAGGCAAAACATAAGATAAGTAATGTATTGCAGTTCCTAACTAAATCTCGAAATGTCTATGTCAGTACAAAATGTCAAAGCAAACAAGGGGAAAATCTTGTAGCAAAGCAGAAATATAGACTGATTTGATAAACTAATAATTAAAAACAGGGGCAATGGAGTTCAGACTCACACATGGAAAAGAGTAGCTCTAAAAAGAGCTCTCTGTTTTGTACAGTATCTCTGTCTTCTCTAGAGAGACATCAAATCTGACACTTAACATTGGCCTGTTTGTAATTTTATGTTCAAGTGAGATCCTAAGTTAAAGCATTAGACTTCATCCCCTTACATGCATCAGTGCTTTGGCTCAATCCCCTGTTTGCTAACACATTAAAATTTGAATGAACTCCATCCAAGCTAAAATCACGAAATACACAAGAGTATTGAGTACATGATCTGTGAGCAATCCTCACTTAGTACACTGAAGGATTTACATCTTTCCATCTTCATTACTAACAAGAAATGTCACTTTGTAATTCACATTAATGGAGTGAGCAAATGTTTTGAATGCAATAAAGTAATAGCACCCTTTCCTCAATAAGAGATTGAATGTGTATGGCAGAGGTAGAACCTTTAGCAAATTTCCCCCAATGCCATATGGTGCGTGGGTACCAGAAATGAATGAAGGTCATTTGGAAAGAAGTAAAGGAGCATTTTGGAATGGGGCTTTTTTACACACAACTGAAGAGTGAAAACCTTCTAAAAAAAGTTTATAAAGGAACAAGGAAGGGTACCGTTGAAAGAAGCTGTCATCCTTAATGCTCAGTTTTGACAGTAATCGTACTGTAATGTTCAGTGGAAGAATATTTCAGAGAGTATTGCAGGAAATTAAGACCACATTTAAGTCTTGTTTTTAAGTTGTATGCAAACAAAAAAAATCTATTGAAATGTTATCATCCATAAATTCTAAAGATAATTTTGAAATTGCACATGATCATAGCAATAACTTGCAAATGTACAAATTACAATGGCAAATGTCAAAATATTGTGCAATAATGGCATGACTGTCTGAAAGGTGCAGCCAGCATTGGGACCAAGACTAATGAGTAAGCCATAGAATGTGTACACGGTGAGAACAATTTGAAATGGACGGGAAAAATGTAATCAAGCCACTCCATTAGTCATATTAATAGAGTTCTGTTTTAAAGTTGGGAAGGAATTAAACCTTAATTATGTTCACTTCTCCACTTCTGTTTATAAATACCA